GTGGTTCGTGTTCGCTCTCTCTCTCTCTCTCTCTCTCCCTCTCCCTCTCGTCTCTTCTTTGTCGTGGATCTCTTACTTTTCTCGCGCTTTTATGAGAGAACGGATTTCGTCAAGTTTCGTTCCATTGTGAGGAAGAATCGCAATTAAAGTTTTTAAGCTCCGTCGACGAGGGGTTAATTTTGAAAAATTAGATGTTTCGTAATCGTCCATTTCACGCGTGAAACATGTCTCTCTGACGACGAGATTGAGATTACGAATTTCTACGTGAGATGTTAATTAAATCTCGGGGAATTCTTTGATGTTTTTTTTTTTTTTTTAATTTAATTTAGTAATTAAAATTCATATAAGAAGTTTTTTTTTCATCAAGAAAATATGAAGAAAATGATCGAATGAAAATTGGCAAAGTTAATAAGAAGGTTATAAAAATAGTGAGAATTGCAACAATGGTAAAATATATGTTGTATAATTTTATTTTTGAAATAAGTAATGATATTACTTAAAGAAAAATTGTATTAATTATAAAATTGAACAATGAGCAGAAAAATCATGAAGTTGGTAGACTTCTTTCAAATTAAAGAAAAAAATAATACTTTATATTTTATTTTCATGAAAAAACAGAACGAATAAATTCATGGCTACTTGTTCCACATTCTTTTAATACTCTGGAACACTTAATTTAATCAAAAGCATTTAATTTAATCTTTTTCCGTTTTATTAAACAACGTCTGTAACGTTCGTTAAAATTAATTGAATAAATGTCACGATGAACAAATTTTTTTGTCCTAAATTGGTACAATTTCTTTTCTTAAATTTCGAATCATTTGTTTCTGTTCTTCGTTGCAAATGCTATTTTAGTTTGCAGTCCAAGAGATCCACAAAACAAACCTAACCTAATTTAATCTAAAAAAAAACCAACAACCATTTTAAGCATCTAACCTAATCAAGAAGATTGATTCTACAGGCCAAAACAAATATAAAAATATCGATTGCTTATTTATTTATCAAGACATTGGATATTTATGTAAAATACTATACAAAAATCCAAAATTTATTCCTAAACTTAATCTAATCTAATCCAACAAGATTGTAGAAAAATATTGCTTATTTATTTATCAAGTGTACATTGGATATTTATGCAAAATACGAATATAAAAATCAATTGACGTTCCCAAGTAATGTTCATTCAAAAAGCTATTCTCAAAATTAACTTAACCTAACTTAATCCAATCACAAGTAACATATCCAAAACTTATCCCCAAATTTAACTTGGCCTAATCTAATCCAACAGGATTCTACAAAAATATTGATTGCTTATTTATTTATCATGACATTGAATATGTATGCAAAATACGAATACAAAAATCAACTGACGTTCCCAGTAACATATTCAAAAAGCTATCCCCAAAGTTAACTTAACTTAATTCAATCACAAGTAACATATCCAAAATTTATCTCCAAACTTAACTTGGCCTAATTGAATTTAATAAATAATAAACAAAAATATAGATTGCTTAGTTATTTATCAAATGAACATTTATGCAAAACACGAATACAAAAATCAAAAATATATCTAAAACTTATCACTAAATTTACTCTAATTCAACAGCAATCGTACAAAAAGTATCGATTGCTTATTTATTCACAAAATAGACTCTGGACATTAAAGAATATAGAAATTTGTGAATGCACATAACGTCCATATCCACCAATTGCAAACTTTCATGCGAAAATTGAGCGACAGTGCATCGCAAACGACGATAATCGAAACGAGATTCTATTACTATTAACTCATCCACAACCGAGAGGCCGGTTCACAATGTTCACGCGTGAACCGATACACGCAGCCAGTTAACTTGATATTCGTCTGACAGGTCGATCCTTCCCTTTAACCAACTCGTACCAACCTAGCTATTTGGCCGGCGTGCCTCTAACCCCAGCTATTTAGCGTCCCAAGTGCAAAGTGTCGTGCCATTACAGGGTGGCAGACGCGGCGCTCCATTAAGCAACGTACGGGGCCTCGCGTACAGAGACGTGCGCCGTGTATTCCGCCATGGCCGTGAAACGAATGGAAGGATACGAGGTGTGGGTCGTGGCGTGCAGGAATAGCTGCATTTCGTGCCAAGCAATGCCTTTAATTAAACCGAAAGGGGGATGTGTATTGTCATTTCGATGCTGGACCATCGGTTGTATCCAGAGCGTGTTGTACTTGGCCAGGGACCCTTCTATATGCACGCGAAAATTTCCGCCATTTTGTTTCATTCACGAAACTTCGGCCAACGAGATCTTCTCGAATTCCCTAGAGGGAAACGAATCGTTCTCTTTCTCTCTCTTTCGCTTTCGCGACCATTCTTTATATCATTGAATATAATAAAAAAATAAATAAATAAAAAAATATAAAAAATAAATAAAAAATAAATAAATAAATATATATCATTTCTTTTTTCGTTTTGATTTGATGGTATATTTG